ACTAACATTTTTACAAGAGCTTGTGGTGTGCCAGGCACTGTTGCAGATCTTTATGTAAATAACCCATTTAGTCTCCAAGAACACCCTACGGGAATTGTGCTGCTTCGATCACTTCCTTGCCGTGAGACACAGAGAGGATAAGTAACAAACTTCTCCAAAATCAACTAATTTTCCCCCACTTCCATTTCCATCATTCAGGTTGAAACTAGGCCCTGTCCTGGGCTCCCCCTGGTTCTGAACCCCTTGCTGCCAAACACCCAGCTCTGTCCCTAGTGCTCTTCCTCCATCTGCATACTCCTTGTGCTGCTCTGGTCCAGCCTGTATCACCTCCTGAGACTCTCCCTGACTCCAGTTTCTCCTCTTCAGTCCAGTTGCCTTTCCACTGGGGTCCCAAGAGATCTTCTGATACGAATCTCATTGCTGTGATCCAACCCTTCTGTGACTGCTAAGATCCCATCTCCCTGGAGGAAGAGCCAGCCTCAAGCAGGGTCCAAAGAGGGGGCTGCCATCCTTGTTTCAGGATGGAGTTCTTGAAAGAGCCCACCCTGTGTACTTGCTAGAGATTGGGATCATTTCACCGTTAGTCTCTCTTCATGCAAAAGGTGGACAACGAGAAAGGAAGACAGAAGAACTGATGCATTCAAACTGTGGTGTTCATGAAGAATAGTGAATATACCACAGACTGCCAAAAGAACAAACAAATAAGTCTTAGAAGAAATACAACCATAACGTTCCTTAGAAGCAAGGATGGTGAGACTTCGGCTTGCTTACTTCGGACATGTCATCAGGAAAGACCAATTGCTAGAAAAGGACATCATGTTTGGTAAAGTAGAGGGTCAGCGAAAATGAAGGAAACCCTCCATACGATGGATTGACACAATGGCCGCAACAGTGGACTCAAACATACCAATGATCATGAGGATGGTGCAGGACTGAGCAATGCGTCTTTCTGTTATACTTGGGGTTGCCATGAGTCAGAGCCAACTTGATGGCAACTAACAACAATATGCAAGTAAAATTTTGCTGAAGATAATTTAAAAACAGTCAGAGCAGTACATCAACAGGGAACTGTCAGAAATCAAGCTGGATTCAGAAGAGGACGTGGAAAGCAGAGAATAGCAGAAAGATGTTTACCTGTGTTTTATTGACTATGCAAAGGCATTTGACTGTGTGGATCATAACAAATTATGGATAACATTGTGAAGAATGGGAATTCCAGAACACTTAATTGTGCTCATATGGAACCTATACATAGACCAAGAGACAATCGTTTGAAAAGAACAATGGAGTACTGTGTGGTTTAAAATCAGGAAAGGTGTATGTCAGGGTTGTATCTTTTCACCATACTTATTCAATCTGTACACTGAGCAAATAATCCAAGAAGCTGGACTATATGAAGAAGAACGGGGCATCAGGATTGGCGGAAGACGCATTAACAACCTGCTTTATGCAGATGACACAACCTTGCTTGCTAAAAGTAAGGAAGACTTGAAGCACTTACTGATGAAGATCAAAAACTACAGCCTTCAATATGGATTATACCTCAACATAAAGAAAACAAAAAACTTCACAACTGGACCAATAAGCAACATCATGACAAATGGAGAAAAGATTGAAGTTGTCAAGGATTTCATTTTACTTGGATCCACAATCAACACGCATGGAAACAGCAGTCAAGAAATCAAACAGTGTATTGCATTGGGAAAATCTGCTGCAAAAGACCTCTTTCAAGCGTTAAAAAGCAAAGACATCACTTTGAGAACTAAGGCGCACCTGACCCAAGCCATGGTATTTTCAATTGCCTCATGTGAAAGCTGGACAATGAGTAAGGAAGACTAAAGAAGAACTGGTGCGTTTGAATTACGGTGTTGGCAAAGCATATTGAATATACCACAGACTGCCAGAAGAGTGAACAAGTCTGTCTTGGAAGAAATACAGCCAGAATGCTCCTTGGAAGCAAGGATGGGGAGACTTCGTCTCACGTACTTGGGACATGTTATCAGGAGGGACCAGTCCCTGGAGAAGGACATCATGCTTGGTAAGGCAGATGGTCAGCGTGTGACCCTAATACTCCCCAGCATGTTTTCTCCTTTTCAAAACGGGCAGCTGAGAGCTTGACATAACTAACGCCATGATGAACTTGAAGCTTTTTTCCTTTGCCTTCTCCCTTTTCGCATACCTTTGTTAATGACTCTGTTTTATGACTTAGGATTCCCCGCACAGGAAGATTAGAGCCCAGATGTCAGATATGTATATCTTTAGCCTGATGAGGAAATGTCTGGTTCCTTATCTCTTTAGTATGATATAGAGTCTCTTGTAACTACCTTGTAATGAATAACAACACTTTAAAAATCATATATAAGCTCTGGTGTAAAAATGCCTTTTGGGACTCCATAGAGACAGGCTGCGTTGCTGTTGGATCCCCATTGGTGGCCACCTCCTAAATTAAAACTTCCTCACTTTTTCTGACTTGGAGTATGTTTCATTGGCTCGACTGCTCCAGGGCAAGGACCCTATTGGGGTAACAAGTGAAAAAGAGGAAGACCCTCAACGAGATGAATTGACACAGTGGCTGCAACAATGGGCTCAAGCATAGCAATGATTGAGCCAGTAGTGTTTCGTTCTGTTGTACACAGGGTCCTGTTGTACACAGGGTTGTTATGAGTCGGGGTCGACTCAACAGTACCTAACAACATGGAAAGTTTCTGATGAAACACACATGTTGCACGGGTGGGGGCTGCTCAGGAAGCAGGGCTTCAAGACAGGGGCAGAGGGTGAGGGAATGGATGAGGCTGATGATGTTTTCTGAGCTCCTACTGTGTGCCAAAGGAGCCCTGGTGGTGCAACAGTTAAGAGCTCAGCTGCTAACTGAAAAGTGGGTGATTCAAACCCACCAGCGGCTCCGGGGGAGAAAAGACCTGGTGATCTACTCCCATAAAGATTACAGCCTAGGAAGCCCTACAGGGCAGTTCTACTCTGTCCTGTAGGATTACTCTGAGTTGGAATAAACTAGATGGCACACAACAACAACAGCTGTGCCAGGAACCACACTAAGATTTTACGGGCAAGGTCTTATGACAACTCTTTTACCAATAAGCAAACAGAGGCCCAGAGTAGTCAAGCCACTTGCCCGTAGTCACACAGCGGCAGGGGGGCCGGGATTTGACCTCAGATCTGTCTGACGCAGCCCTCACATCATCCACAACAAAAGTATTAAGTAACTGCTTGGCCTGTAGCAGGGGCCAGGGGGCCTGGGAGGCACGTGGAACAGCCCAGGCCAGTCACCCCGACAAGCTCGTAGTTGGCGTTCACCTGGTGCTTCAAGGCCCAGTTAAATGTCTGCCTCCTCAAAATGTGGCACAGAATTTCAAATTCTGATAGAACCCAGACTTTCTGGCACCACTGAGGCTGGATGACCACTTGAAACAATTGCTCTGAGGCAATCTTTAAACCTTAAACCGAAACTATCTCCTGAAGTAGGGAGGATCACCCAATAAGCAAGGTACGCACAGGCTCACTTGTGCTTACTTACTAATCTGCAGTATACAATTTCACCTGTTTTTCACCACATCCAGGTGAAATTGTGTACTACAGATTAGTAAGTAAACACAATTAAGGCCCTGTGTACTTTGCTCACTGACTAATCTGCCCTGCCCTGAAGGCATCTTTAAACCAAATCACAGTTTAGCTTAATGACAAAAGAATGTCTGCCTCGAGCACTGTGTTCTTTTAAAGAATTATCTATGTGAGATCAAACTGACAACAGCAACTCGAAAGGTTAGATGAGAAGCTTAGGGGGCAGTGAGTTTCTGTTAACGGTGGTGAAATAATTGGGAAAACGACATCGAGAAAGTTGGCACAATCTGAAGAACGTAACCAATGTCACTGAATTGTACATGTCAAAATTGTTGAAGTGACTTTTATTTTGCTGCGTATTTCTTCACCAAAACTAAAAAGCCTGCCTCCTCTTATGTCGCTATAAATCATAATTTCATTTGTCTTTTAACGAAAACTAGATTATTAAAACAAACAAAAAAACAAGCCTGCCTCCTCCAGGAAGCCTCCCAGAGGGGCTCACAGTTGTGGTGGCATGGGAGCTCAGAAGTGGCTGGTCAAGGGGGCCACCCTCTCCTGGTTTGCTCTTGTCCTCAAGCCCCTTCTTCAGAGCCGCAAGTAACCAGGCTGGCCAAACACCATGGGGAATCAGGCCCCTGAATGCGGCTTTTGATGCCTTCCCTGATGTGGCCCCAGGCTCACTCACCAGCTCTTCTGGCCCCAGCCATTGACTCCAAATTCGCTCCCTCCCTGCTCCTGGGCCAGACCCCAGGGTGGCTGATGCCTGCCGCTCAGCAATGCAGTGGAGAGGCTGGGAGGAAGCTGTGGGCCTGGGTGTGCCCAGCACAAACCACAGTTTTCCTCCCCAACATCTCCCCACCCCAGGCAGCCTGACTGGGACGCTCCCCAGAAGGCCCAGGGTGGGAGCCAAGGGGTGTCTCCCTGTGGGGAGGGCTACCTGGTGGAGTCCCTCTTCCTTGGGCGACCTTGGAAGGCAGTGGGGAGGCCCAGCTCAGGGGATTCTCAGATATTGGCCTGAAGTGGGGTTTGTTTTGAATGCTGCATTTCCCAGCTCTACCCTTCTGCTTCAGGGAGGTGCATGATGGGGGCCCCAGAATCTGCATTTTAAGACACATGCCTGGTGACTTTGCCCACGCTCCCCCACCTATCCCCTGTCCTGTCTCTCCCATTCTGCTCTTGGCCCCAAGGAGCCACCATCCCACTGTCTCCTCCTGTTGCCGGTCACGGACACCCTTCTGTTCCCTGGCTTGCCTATCATGGAGAACAAACACAGGGCGCAGACAGCACCCCCACCCAAATCGGGAAGCAGGGTGAACAGAAAGTGGAGAAAGTGGGTGGTCTCTCTGCCCACTGCCCTCCAGGCCCCTATGCCACCCTGTCCCTGTCAGTCTGTCTGTCCCCTGCTCCTCGTGATGGTCACTCACCAGATGGAGCTATGTCCTCGGTGCTGCGGGTGTCCATTGGGCAATTAGGGGCAATTCTCACAGCTCCTGCAGTGCCCTTCGACCCACGGCTAGGGAAACATCACTGGGCCAGGGCCCGGCGTCACTGCAGGGCGACCCAGCTCTGCCTCAACTTTCTCTTCCTCAACTTCCTGACACCTTCGTCCCTGCTGCGGGCTGACCCAGGGGTCAGAGAACAGCACAGAGGTCAGGGGTCCTAGAAGCAGGGGGTTCTTCCCTCACCCCCAGCCCTGTGCATGCAGGCGTCTTGAGGAGGTGGGGTTGGGCACCAGGGGGAGCCTTACCACCCTCACCCCGCCCCCAACAGCTTCCTGTTGTTCAGAACCAACTGCCAAAGAGGAACGGGGCGCCAGGGCCTCACCCCGGAACATAAGGGCACAGGCGGAGACACATGGGGACACACACAGTCACGTGTCCCCACAGAGACACAGGCAGCCACATACATACATGAACACACACAGCATGTGGGTACACACAGGAGAGCAGAGACACATGTGGCCACAGGGTCACACAGAGGCATGTGGGCCCACGTGGTGGGCTGGTAAGTGTTTGACCACTGCCTCTCTGATAAAAAGAAGCCCTGATCTGTAGTGTTGGCCAATTTCCGTGGTGTAAATACTCCCACCACGGTCAATTTCAATGACCAACGTGATGTTACTAAATGTGAAGTCGTAAAGAGATGCCCAGAATCGGGTGCCGGTATGAGCCGGCTCCAGCACCCATGCACGTGGGTACCCAGGCACATGGGTTCATGCAAAGAGACACGAGCCCCCAGCACGCAGTTACTGGGTACACATGAGTCCACGTAGACATGGGAGTGTGCAAGCAGAGTGGTGTACACAACCTGTCTCTATCTCTCTCCTCTGTCCGCCCTTCTCTCACTTTCTGTCCTTCTGTCTCTCTGGGTCTCACCGTCTCTACCTCTATCCTCTCTCTGTCATCCTCCTCTCTCTCCTACCTCTATCTTTCTTCTCTCTCTGTCTAGGTCTTTCTCTCTCTCTCCTCTTACTCACCCCTTTCTGGACTCTTCATCCCCCGACTTTAAACTCTGTCCCACCCCCCATCACCTCCTGGCCTCCTTGTGCCTACACTCCCTGTCCACGCTTCCCCACCCTCTCCACCTCCTGGGATGAACCCACACCCACATGCCTGGCTCCACTCCTGCCCTTCCCCCCACTGTCCATCTCACCTCCCCGAGGCCCCTCCACCTGCTGACACTTCCTGCTAGTCCCCCTGGATCTCCTCGCCCTGAGCCCTCGGTGGACAGCCTGGTCCCCTGTGGGGCCTGGTCCCACCTCCACCGCCTTCTGCCCTGAAGGCTCCTCTAGTCTGTCCCGCTGCCCTAGATGGGCCTGCCTCTCCCCTCCTGCCTCCCTCTGGGTGTCCATCTCAGTGATGGCCCCTCTGCCCACTTAGACACCAGAGACAGAGAGAGACAGAGAGAGAGAGACAGAGACAGAGGGAGACAGAGAAGGAGGGACAGGGAGACAGAGAGCCAGAGACAAATATAGGCAGAGAGAGATAGAGAGAAAGGATGGGCAAGAGGGAGCAGGAGACAAAGACAGAGACAGAGAGACACACAGAGAGCTAGAAATACACAGAGACAGACAATGAGAGATACAGAGAAAGAAACAGAGAAACACACAGAGAAAGAGATGAGAGAGACAAGAGAGACAGAGACACATGGAGAGAGACAGAGAGAAGAAAAGAGTCAGGTAGCAACATAGAGACTAAGAGAGACAGAGAGATCAGCTACCCTTGACCTTATCCCCCACCCCCAGTCATTTAGCCCTCCCTCCAAAACTCAACCCCAGTCTGTCCAAATCCGTCCTCTGCGGCCCAGGCACGGCACCGCCGCCTCGCTCCCTCTCCTGGAGCTATCCACTCTCCGCCCCCAGTCGGAGGGGATTTGCTATATGCACTTTACCTCCTCCGTCCTCTGCTCAGAAGCCCTTCGGCTCCCGGATTCCTTCCCTCCCCCACCAGTCCTCACCATAAAGTTCAGCCCCTGGAGCCCCGCCTCTCCTGACCCCACTCCCCGCCCCCTCGCTCCGGGTCAACCACCATTCACTGATTTCAGTTCCTCAAATGTGCCCTCTTCGCCCGCCGGCCTTTGCATGGGTTATGCCCTCTGTGGGGAACACTCTTCCCGCCCACCTGTTTGTTCTTCATCTGTCTCCCTCCCACTCCTCCGCAGGATTCTGCTCAAGTGTTGCCTCCTCCAGGAAGGCTCCTCTGACTTCCCTAGGGAGATCGGCCCCTGACACCCAGTCTCCAGTCCCTGGTACATCCCCTCCCCAGACCCTATCACAGTGAAGCTAATGACTGTCTCTGGAAGTTGAGCATTTAATATCCATCCCCCACAGGGCTGGGGATGGGATAGGTGCTCAATTCAATATTTGTCCTTTCCCCCACAGCAGGCTAGAGGGATCCTGTTAGAACCCAAGTCAGATCATGCCCCTCACCTGCTCTCATTGAAAAATAAACCAAACCTGTTTCCATTGAGTTGAGTCTGAATCATGGCAGCCCCGTGTGTCTTCATTGCTCTGGGGTAAATCCAAACTTCTCATGTCCCTCCCTGCCCTGCCTTCCTCCTCTTTTCCCCCTCGCACACTCCGCACCAGCCACACGGGCCTCCTCGCTGTTCCTCCAACATGCCAGGCACAATCCTGCCCCAGGGCCTTTGCACGGGCTATCCCTTCTTCTCAGATATTTGCACAACTCACTCCCTGACTTCACACGGCTCTTCTCTGTTGTTAGTTGCTGTCAAGTGGCTCCAACTCATAGTGACCTATGTATAACAGAACAGAACTGCCTGGTCCTGTGCCATCTTCATGATCATTGGTATGTTGTTGTGGCTATTATGTCATTCCATCTTGTGGAGGCTTTCCCACATTTTTGTTGGCCCCCTACTTTACCAAACATGCTCTCCTTTCTAGCGATTGGTCTTTTCTGATGACATGTCCAAAGTCTCGCCATCCTCACTTCTAAGGAGCATTCTGGCTGTACTTCCTCCAAGACAGATTTGTTTGTTCTTCTGGCAGTCCATGGTATATTCAATATTTTTTGCCAATGCCACAGTTCGAATGTGTCCGTTCTTCTTCGGTGTTTTTTCATTGTCCAGCTTTCCAAGCATATGAGGTGATTGAAGAAAACATGGTTTGGATCAGGCACGCTTTAGTCGTCAAAATGAAATCTTTGTTTTTTAATACTTTAAAGATGTCTTTTGCAGCAGATTTGCCCAATGCAATACGTCATTTGATTTCTTGACTGCTGCCTCTATGGGCATTGATTACGGATCGGAGTAAAATGAAATCCTTGACAACGTCAGTATTTTCTCCGTTTATCATGATGTTGCTTATTGGTCCAGTTGTGAGGATTTTTGTTTTCTTTGTGTTGAGGTGTAATCCATACTGAAGGCTGTGGTCTTTGATCTTCATCAGTAAGTGCTTCAAGTCCTCTTCACTTTCAGCAAGCAAGGTTGTGCCATCTGCATATCACAGGTTGTTAATGAGTCTTCCTCCAATCCTGATGCTGCATTCGTCTGTCAGTTTGCCACCACGAGTCCGTCAGTCTGTCATACTGTGGTGGCCTGCGTGTTGCTGTGATGCTGGAAGCTATGCCACCAGTATTTCAAATACCAGCAGGGTCACCCATGTGGACAAGTTTCAGTGGAGCTTCCAGACTAAGACAGACTAGGAAGAAGGACCTGGTAGTCTGCATCTGAAAAAAATTGGCCAGTGAAAACCCTATAAAAGGCAGTGGAACATTGGCTGATAGAAACATGAGTTCCCCCCCCGCCACCCCGCCCCAGGTTGGAAGGCACTCAAAATATGACTGGGGAAGAGCTGCCTACAAATTAGAGTCTACCTTAATGACGTGGATGGAGTCAAGCTTTCGGGATCTTCATTTGCTAATGAGGCATGACTCAAAATGAGAAGAAACAGCTGCAAACATCCATCAATTAGTAGGCTAGAAGTCTGAATTCAAGGTGCTGGGCTCTAGGGCAATGCTTTCTCTCTCTGTCGGCTCTGGGGGAAGATCCTTGTCTCTTCAGCTTCTGTTTCCTGGTTCCTTGAAGATCTCCATGTGGCCTGGCATCTGTCTTTCCCCTCTCTGCTTGCTTAATGTGCTTGTTTTATATTTTGTAAGAGATTGACTCAAAGCACACCCAACACTAATCCTGCCTCATTAACATAACAAAGAAAATCCATTCCCAAATGGGATTATAACCACAGGCATAGAAGTTAGGATTTACAACACATGTTTTTAGGAGGCATAATTCAATCCATAACATGTGGGAATCCATCCGAGAGTTTGAATTTCACGTGAAACCATCGTCTTTACGGTATTAGAAGTTGGCTTTTTCCTCATCTTGTAGCTGCTATCACCACAATCGCCACTAGAGGGCAGTGCTTTTCCGTGGCTTCTCCTCTGGCCAAAGGAGACAAGTAAAACAGGCCAGGCCATGACCTGAGGGACCTGGGTGTGAGACACAGGCAACTACTGGGTCTACCCTACCTTCTCCCACTTTTGATAGAGACGTGGTAGCCTGAGATATTTCCGTGCTGAGGAAACAAAACAAAATAAATTCCAGATAGGTTAAAGATAAAATGTATGAAATAAACTAATACAAATTCTAGAAGGAATTTTCAAGGCTATTTTTACAACCTAGAATTGAAAGTCTGTATTTTTTTAAAACCAAGACAGGAAATCTGGGAGCCATGAACGAAAAGACAGAAATATCCAATTATATATAAATTAACAAGACATTTAGGGAAATAATGTTATGAGCAAAATCAAAAAGTAAAGATCAATTGGTTGTCTGAGAAGGGTGGCCCAGTTGCTGTTGAGTTGATGCCAACTCATGGAGACCCCGCATGGGTCAGAGTAGAACTGTGCTCCATACGGTTTTAAGTGTCTGAGTTTTCAGAAGTAGATCAGCAGGCCTTTCTTCTGAGGCACTTCTGGGTAGACTCCAACTTCCAACCTTTCAGGTAGCAGCGGAGCACGTTAACTGATTCACACAGGGACTCTATGAGAAGGGTCAGAACCTTCATATATAAAGAGTGTTTACATATTAATAAGAAAAAGACAGACAACACCAATAGAAAAATGAGAAATATGAGCAGCCACCTCTCAGAAGAGCACAACCAAGTAGCCAAAGAACATATGAAAATTAGTTTCCAGGAATCCAGAGAGTGCAAATTTCAGGAACAATGTGCCGTCACTTCACATCCAAGGGAATGGCAACAACAACCACAAAAAGAGTAACAGTGTGTATCTGCTTATTATGTTACTCTA